GGCTGGGGATTCGAACCCGCCACCTTAGGTGTATGTGGCTGGCGCCGTAGCCGCTTGAGCCCCAGGTGCCGAGCCCAGAATCCATCTTTAAAATCACTTTTTGACTTATAGTCATCAGTGTCTGTGTTTTTCCACATAGTATTTCCTCTGTGCCATCAAGAGTGGTAATTTTAAAAATCCATAAAAAGACATTGATTTTTCTAGACATTTAAGCTTGTGTTATAATTACACAGAACTATCCTAATCTGGATCTTTCTCTGGGAGTGCTCCTAAACACGGCCTGTGTCAACTCCCATGATGGTTTGTTTCCTAGGTGTGTGTGTTTGTTTATGGAGACAGGGTTTCACTCTGTTGCTCAGGATGGAGCATCATCATAGCTCGCTGCAGCTATACATTCCTGGGCTCAAGTAATCCTCCTGCCCCAGGCTCCCAAGTAAGCTGGGAGGATAGGTGTGTACCACTGCTAATTTTTCTATTTGTCTATTTTTTGCAGAGATGGGGGTCTCACTCTTGGTTGGGCTGGTCTTAAAAACAACCTCAAGTGATCTTCCCACTACTGCCTCTGAAAGTGCTAAGATTACAGGTGTGAGCCACCATGCCAAGCCTTGCTTCCTAGGTTTTAAAAGAATGTTCTACAGTTGTCCATGGGATTTCCTTCCAAATCTATGCATCCATTCCACTAGTTGTGAAGCTGGTGCTTTGGATGTTTATGCACATGTATGTATATATATATAGGCAATGACAAGTACATCTCAGCTACTCTGGAGCAATGGTGATTGTAGGATGCCATCAATGTAAGACACATCTCAATTTCAGAAGAATAAATGTGGTTAACAGTGCATCTTACAATCCATTAAGCAGAGTAGTTCACCCAGTTCATTTCCTGAATAAGGCCCAGGCAAATGAGATCTTTGACCAGTGTCACACAGGAAATTAGTGGTAGCTGGGACCAGAAGAAAGTATATAGAATCTAGTGGATTTTTCTGATTTTAGTAGGATTTTTACTGGAATACAGTGATTGAAACTTAGAAGGAGGGCTAATGGAAGAGAAAGAGAGTTGCATTGTATGTAAAAAGGGTACCTACATAGAAAACCATAAGTCTGAACATATGTGAGCTGTTGAAATACCATCAATTGTAAAACACTCCAATATTTGGGGGTGGGGGTCAGGGAAATAGTATTCTAATAGTCTGTAAGTGGCCCACCTGGAACCAGTCACTTTCCATGCCAACCCATTCATTCTTCATTCTTACCATTTGAAGTCTTATGAGAAAAGGGTGTGCCCAGATCACTCCCCTACTCTTAAGAAGTGGTGGTGGCTTCTCATTCCCAATAAAGTCCGGGTCCCAGAGCGATACATAAGGAAGGCCCTCTACAGATATCCTGTCCTTGCCTTTAGTTCTGCCCTCTCCCTCCCCAGGGATCTTCCTCTCTAGCCATGCCACCGATCCCACCAGCATGTCTCTGCTTTCTCATCCTGTGTGTCTCTTCATTCTGTTCTCTTCTCCGAGAATGGCCCTCACCCACCCATGTTCACCTTACACCCTCATCCTTCAAGGCCCAAATACAACTTCTTTCTCACAGTTTCCCTTCAAAGCTGCCTCCTTTACTCAGTGATGATTTCCTCATGTGTTTTTTTAATAATCTTTTTTTTTTCTTTGGTTGCAGTTTTTGGCCGGGGCTGGGTTTGAACCTGCCACCTCTGGCATATGGTGCTGGTGCTCTACTCCTTGAGCCACAGGCACCACCCTTCATGTGTTTTTAAAACTACTTTATACATTCTTCTAACAAGTATCATTTATGTGTGTCTGTTTCAATAAGCTATTATCTCCTTGGGAGAAAGGGTTGTAGCTTATGTATTTTCTTTTGCTGTTTTCTAGAACTGTGCCTGGCAAACAAGTAAATATTTATTGCCTTAATAAGTCTGCTTGATGCCACTACCTCCTGAGAAGAAACACAATTAAGTCCATAACTACTTCCTGAATGATTGTTAATCTGCAAGGGGAAAGAGACTGAGTAAAAATTTCATTTAGAGGAAGGTTTACAAGTGAGGTGGTATAAAAAGTGTAGAGAGTTAAAAGGTCTAGCACAGTGTTTTTGAACCTTTTTTATCCCACGGCGCACTTGAACCTTAAATTATATCGATCCAAAGAAGGAGGCAAAAATAATATACTTACTGTGCTTTGAACTTCTTTCTAAAATAATCTAATTAATGATCTTTAAAAATTTTTGAGGTACACCTAAGATCCTCTCATGGTACACCAGTGTGCCACGGCACACCATTTGAAAATCACTGATCTAGGGGGTATAAAGAAAGAAGATTCAGGAAGGGTGGCTTAAAGAAACAGAAAGCAAATGGGAATAGAAATAGAATGGTAGATAAAGAAAGGAGAAAAAAAAAGAGAACAGTAGTGAGAGTGATTAAGTGTCCAGGATTTGAGAATCTTAGTTTAATTGCAGAGGAGTTACTAGACAATGCTTCTCACATAGACTTTGCCGACTCTTTGATGAATGAATCCCATTTTGTATTCTTCACATCACTCTCTCCCTGAAAAGAAGCAAGTGTGCTTCTTACAACTGCCTTACAATTAGTGCCTTGTTCTTCACTGTTTTTCTGCGGAAAGCTGGGGAAGGCAGAATAGTATTGTGGAAAAGCACTCACTACACTGGGGATCAGAGGGCCAGGCTCATGCATCCCAGCTCTGTGACCTCAGCAAGGCATTTGGCCACCTTCACTTCAGAATCATCGTCTATAAATGGGAATGATAGTATCTGTGCAGGCTTCCTCACAGGGTTGCTGTAAATATCAAAATAGGTAAAAATAATATATATGAAAACACTTTGTAAGCTATTGGGTTGCTCCAGGAATGAAGGTGGTAAGACCCTTCAGTTGCGTTACTCGTCCTATACAGTGGACTCCATTGACAGCATCGCTTTGTCTCCTGTTAATAAATCCTGTTTACTGAAATATCACAGTGTTTCTCTTTTATTAGTAGTACTCTGAAGCCTCAGGAAGCTAGCCCAATTAAATGTGCATGGCCCATGAGAAAGGGATATAAGAAGCCATGGCACTCCCTTTTCAAAAAGAGCTGGAGAAATACAAGAACATTGATGAAGATGAGCTTCTTGGAAAACTCTCAGAAGAGGAACTGAAGCAGTTGGAAAATGTTCTGGATGACCTAGATCCTGAGGTTAGTGACATGGAGCTGAAGCAGAGTGAGTCAGTGATAATATGGGGTAAATGGCATGGTTTGGTCCTTAAACGGTGGTAGAAATCCCTTAGCTCCAAATGCAGATTTTCTACCCTTCCCCTGATTGGCTCTGGGTCATTTACTAATTTATGGAGAACCTGACAGCCACTGCTGTGTGATATGGCAAATGTATTTCTCAAAAACCAGTTCAGTTTCCACTGGTTGAGGAAAGACTTGTCTGACTTAGGGGAAACAGAAGGAAGGAAAGAAACAAATCTTACTGAGTTTTTTTCTATGTGTTAAGACCCCTTTGCTGGGCATAGAAGACCTTGACGTGAATCATATTATCAGCATTTTATAAATGAGGAAACAGTCTGGGAAAGGTAATTTACATAAGATTTCATATTACACAATGTCAGAGGCCGGGTGTTTAAACCAGGCCTTTTGCCTCAAATGCAGATTTTTTAAAATAACTCATTTCTTTGAAATACATAAGTAACTTGAAATCTTTGATAATTCTACAACAATGGATGGGTTAGAATGACTATAATAATAATATCAAATACATTTAAATGGAGTTTCTAATATTTTTATGAGTTCTTCAAAAGCTATGTTGTTATATTGTTTGTTTAGCATGTCTTTTCTGTAGCCCTAATGGTATTATCTTAAACTTATCATTGGAGGCATCCAAAATCATGATTTTACTAAAATAAAAATATGACTAAAACAGAATTATGTACATTTCATTCTGATGTGTCACATAGTTTGCATATTATATTTACTATAAAAAGTACAAGTATCCTGCTTCTTTTTTTAACTTAAGGAAGGAATCTGAAAGCTTAATCAAGCAGATACTAACATCTACCATAGTATTTACTTACCTGCTTGGATGTTTCTGCAGAAGGGTTAGCTGCATAGGCTCCCGTTAAAGTCTCCATATTTTTGTCTGGGAAAATCCTGGGTGCAGATCTAGCCAATCCTGTATGTGATGTGCTATATAAGTTCGTTGTTTTTTTTTTTTTTTTTTTTGAGACAGAGTCTCAAGCTGTCGCCCTGGGTAGAGTGCCATGGTGTCATAGCTCACAGCAACCTCAAACTTGGACTCAAACAAACCTCTTGCCTCAGTTTTTCTACTCTTAGTAGACACTGGGTCTCACTTTTGCTCAGGCTGATCTTGAACTCATGAGCTCAAGTAATCCACTTACCTTGGCCTCCCAGAGTGCTAGGATTATAAGCGTGAGGGCCCGGCCCTATTAAATAAGTTCTAGAGGCTGCTCCAGCTGTCTGTCTCTGCATGCACTCTCTGGGAACCCTCTTCTAAGTATAGAATGTTAGAACAAGTACGGCCTTCGAGACCCCAACTCTCAGCTTATACCCGCATTTCTGCATAGCTGTATTTTTCCCTGGTTCCCCCACATACAGTGAGTGGGGACTAAGGGGAGGGAGTAACAAAGTGCCAGTCTGGCAAACATCCTTCCTTCTGTTCACACCTCTGTCCTGTCAGAGTGCGATGCTGCCAGCTGGATTCCGACAGAAAGACCAGACACAGAAAGCAGCCACTGGCCCATTTGACCGTGAGCATCTCCTCATGTACCTGGAGAAAGAGGCTTTGGAGCAGAAAGACAGGGAGGACTTTGTGCCTTTCACTGGAGAAAAAAAAGGTAAGAATCACAGGCAGAGGCACTCTTAATGTATTGCTGTGGAGGGTTAAGCAAGGGAGCTGTCCTGGAAATGGGAAATAAGGCCGTGAAACGGACTCACCATTAAAAAGAACCATTGCTGATAAATACAAGCCAGTCTACA